ACACACACACACACACACACACACACACACACACACACACACACACTGATCGCCAGCAAGCGTGCTCGCCCGTCCAATAGGGCAGGTTCGCAGTGAGTGCGTATATTCTTATATATACAGGGTGTAAAAAAATTAGACCGACAAACTTTGAGAGGAAATAGAGGACATAAAAGCAAACATATTTTGTTAATAATATTTTTCTCTACAACACTTCGTTTTAATACTACAGGGTACGAAACAGGAATTTTATGATTTTAATAAAAAACAAACATATAAATGGAAAAATTAAATTTATCAATTACATATATATATTTTAATCTTCAAAAGACAATGAACAAAAGAACGAAACAAAAATGCGCCATTGATTAGCTCAATTTATAATAAATGTTCAAAAATTCCTTCATTTGCTTCAACACAAAGATGACATCGTCGAAACATTGATTGTCTCACACACTCGAAGACTGCAGGAATATTCTGAATCTGATATGCTGCAACCCGTTAACCCGAATTTCGACGATGTCATCTTTGTGTTGAAGCAACTGAAGGAATTTTTGAACATTTATTATAAATTGAGCTAATCAGTTGCGCATTTTTGTTCCGTTCTTTTATTCATTGTTTTTTGAAGATTAAAATATATATGTGTAATTGAAATAAATTTAATTTTTCCACTTATATATTTGTTTTTTATTAAAATCATAAAATTCCTATTTTGTGCCCTGTAGTATTATAACAAAGCGTCGTAGAGAAAAATATTATTAACAAAATATGTTTGTTCTTATGTCCTCTATTTCCCCTCAAAGTTTGTCGGTCTAATTTTTTTACACCCTATATATACGCACCCACCGCGAGTCCGCCCTGTCGAGCGGGCGAGCGTGCTTGCTGGCGAGTAGTGTTGTGTATGTGTATGCGCGCGCATGCGTGCGTATGCAATACATTGTCATGAATTATATAACTTAACCTAAACTACCCTAAACTGTTATGTCACTCGTAACAATGTGTTACGTTCAGTTGCATACGCACGCACGTATACACACATACGAGGGTGGTCTGAAA